ATTTTTAAAAAATATGTTGTCAGACTAAAGAGGTTAAGAGTTTCTATTATGGTATTTATGAAATTTTTTCTTCTAAAGATATATTTAATTTGTGGACGAGTGTATGAGAGATTGTATTATTTCTGTCTTAAATGTTTGATGGAATTCACCACTGACCTGATCTGGTACTGCAATTTTCTTTGTTGAAAGTTTTTGAATTACAAATTCAACTCCTGTAACAAATACAGGGCTATTGAGACTATCATTTCTTGAATGGGTTTTGGTAGTGTACTTTGTCTTTTAACTATTGAATTTATGTGCACAAAGTTATTCTTAACCCTTTATTGGAGTCCTGGTGTGGTGCTGTGGGTTAATGCGGTAGAGTGCAAAGTCGGTTTGAACCGCAAGGTTGGTGGTTCACGCGCACCTTCTGCTGCTCCTTGAAAACCCTATACAGGGTTGCTGTGGGTTGGGACCGATTGATTCGATGACACTTGACAACACTTTATCATCTTTTCAAAATGTCTGTAGAACCTGTAGTGGTTTCTCTTCTCATTTCTGTTGGTAGTAACTTGTGATACTTTTTTCCCCAACTAATCCACCTAGTTTTTTTCATTTTCTAAAAAAAAAAAAGACCTAGCTTTTCTGTTTTGAAGTCTTGACTTTCTTTGCTATTTTTCAGTTTTTTAATCTCCCAGATTCTACCTTTCTAGTTTCTTAGTGTGACATTTCAGGTCACTAAGTAAGACATTTCTAACAGAGGTGTGTTGTTACGCGTGGTGGAGTCGGTTCCGACTCAGCGACCCTGTACACGGTTTCCAAGGCTGTAAATCCCTACGGGAGCAGAGCGCCTCCCCTTCCGTGTTGTGCTGGGGTTCCCGAGGCTATAAATCTTTACGGGAGCAGAGCACCTCCCCTTCCTTGTTGTGCGCAGGTGGGGGTGGGGGGGTTCCCGAGGCTATAAATCTTTACGGGAGCAGAGCCCCTCCCCTTCCGTGTTGTGCGCAGGAGGGGGGGGGGGGTTCCCGAGGCTATAAATCTTTACGGGATCAGAGCACCTCCCCTTCCGTGTTGTGCGCGGGGGAAGGGGGGGTGGGGTTCCCGAGGCTATAAATCTTGACGGGAGCAGAGCACCTCCCCTTCCGTGTTGTGCGCGGGAGGGGGGGGGCTTCCCGAGGCTATAAATCTTGACGGGAGCAGAGCACCTCCCCTTCCGTGTTGTGTGTGTGTGTGTGGGGGGGGCTATAAATCTTTAC